AGGGGAGAAGCCTGTTTGTGTAAGGTGAGCTTTCAGCCCCCTGCGTGCCCTCCCCCATTCTGTGGAGCCAGATCACACACATTCCTTTTGTGTGTCCAACAATAATGGCAAAACACAGAGCCAATTATTGAGCATGAGCAAAAGGGGGAACGTAAATTGTATTATTAAAAAGGCACTTTACGGCAGCACGGAAGCCAAAAGCCAAAGCACCTGAATACTTTTCTTTGCCATGGCAGACTCAGGGCTTTTGTGCGGGCCCTTTTTTGTGCGCGTGAATGCGAGCACGCCCCGTCTCATTGACTGCTATCTATTGTATCCTACAGGGATATCAGCTGTGTAACGCTCCGGCTTTATCGAACGGTGCTGTATGTATTCACATCTCAAGGTTTCTCAAGGTCCTTCCTGGGTGTGTGAGTGCGAATGTTTTGGCCCCAGGCTGCAGACTCGCATACAGCACTGAACAACAGGCCAGACAGCAAATTAATTTGCCAGCTGCAGCCAAAACACAAGGCCGGGATGATGAAAAGTGTGCATTTCCTCCTCTGCCAGAAGAGGAGTGAGACTCAGCGGTGAAAAAGAGAGCAGAATGGAGGGTCTGTGCGCTTCCGAAGAGTGAACGCAGATGCAATGGGGAGCGCAGACTGCGATATTCAATGCACTACTGTGAGAGCAAATTCAATTCACAGACCTAGTCTGAAGAACAGATTCAGGGCCAAGAAATGGAACAAACTACTTTTTTTTCCCCCAAGCCTTTTGTTTAAAACCCGCAGGCATTCCAGGGTTTCATATGCAAGAAAGCTTAGCTTTTTTGTGTAGGACGTTGTAACAAAACAAGAAAACTTTGCTGTATTAATATACGATTCTATTGTGTGGGCTACAGTAGTTAGCATGCAGCATGTCTCTTTTCTGAAAGCGTATTAAGTTATCCTGTGATAACATCCGATTTGGCCATTACCTGACACATGATGGCTAAATGTAAATAACTGACTCTCCTCCGCTCCGGGTAGAAATGGTATTTCGATTAAGGCATGTCTGGTTGAGCTCTCTTATCCGTGGTTTGGACTGCTGGTTAACTGCGCCCTCGGGATGTGTACTAATTCTGCTCAGTTTGAGTTTGTTTTCATATCTTTTCAAGACGAACTTTGTATGCTGACTGTGCAAAAAAGCAGAGAAAAAAAACAGGACTAACCTACAAAGTCAGGACAAACAAAATGATCCTGACTTTGTAAGTCCTTTTCCTAAAGGTTACTATGTACAGTGATGTCAGCCTCATTGTTATTGTACACGTGTTTAGATTTGACCGATACTTTAAATTAATATTTGATCAAGTATTTATTGTACTCTGGAACACTAGAAGATTTAAGTAATGTTAAGCTATACTTTGTTACCATGCTTAAGCATTATTTTGGAAAAATAATTTCAAAATACAATTACACAAAGTATAATTACAAATCCTATCAAAGTATTATCGCAAATGAACACCAAACGTTTTCATTTAGACCTCGTCACAAATTTCAAAAGACATGAGATTTTTTCTTCTCTTGCTGATTAGTTCATGTTGAATTTATTGTTTGTATTAAATAATCCAACCAAATTTCGTATCAGTGTAAAATGAAACTGCCACAACTTTGCTAACTTGTCTTTGTGCGTAGACCAGTGCCACAGATTGGTCACCACAACACATACCACCAAATAAGGAAAACTTTTCAATTTTATCTGTTAAAACATTTACTTAGGGCAGCACAGTGTCACAGCAAAGAAGGACCTGGGTTCGATTGCCAGAGAATTACACAGGCCGGGCGACCAGGGTCTCCCAGTGTCTGTGTGGGTTTCCTCCTATAGTCCAAAGACATGCCGTCAGGCCAACTGGAGATGCTAAATTGCCCATAGGTGTGAATGTATATGTCTGTCTGCCCTGCAATGGACTGGCGACCTGTCTAAGGTTTTCTGCCTTCCGCCCAATGATCGCTCGGGATAGGCTCCAGCACCCCCTGCGACCCAGAAGGATAAGCAGTTTAAAAACCATTTACCTCTACTTTTATAATCTTTATTATGTTTCAAAGTCAATAGTTTTTACTTTCACTCAAGTATTTATCAACCTTTATCAATCAGCCCTGGCAGAAAATTGTCCGATCAGGATTTTTTTCATCATGGTTTCTAAAGAGATACAGCAGCTTGCCTGGCTCAGGAGCTCATCTACAGGCCTAACATGTAAGATTAACCACTAACATGTAGGATGTGACAGTGGTATCAACAATTCACAGTTTGATTCATGATGGGTGGGACTAACTCTGTGTGAAAATCTCCGACATACGTCCAACATACGTCTCTGAAAAAACAAGAAAATAGACAAGTGGTCTACAGAGCCGGTTGGCCCCATACCCTCACTACGCACAATGCATAGGGCCTCGCAAATTATGCCAGGGCCCCGTCTCCACCTCATGTCAAAGCTGCTTTTGTTTTACAACTTCATTGAGAAGATGAAGAGGAACTACCGATCTGGTCACAAATAAAAACCAAAACCAACACCATGAGAGTGAACTGGGGAAACAGTAATCAGGTCAATTTGAGTTCTTTCCTCCCCGAGTTTGATGTCAGCAATTAACACTAACATTTAACAAATAAAAGTTGGTGTGCTAGTTGGGCAGCGCATCTCTCTCTATTCTGGGAGAGTGAAATATAACTGTTTACAAACTGCTGAGAAAAGATAACCATGTCTCGTGTAAACATGTTCTTATGCGCATGCACAAAATAAAACTCGCGCTTTGCAGCAGCAGCCTCTGTGGAGACCAGTCCAGCCCAGACATTATATGGGTGTGATGGCACTCTCCTCACAGACGCACATCATTTCAATACCCCTACCCTTTGGTTTTGAGAGTCTCCTTGCCTCTTAGAACTGAGTTACAAGGGTAGTGGTTGAAATCTTCCCCCACAAAATGGGACCCTCAAATAAAAAGAGCATCACTTCATTAACAGCTACCAGCGCTGCTCTGCAGGCGACCCTGCCAGTCTGCAGTGACAGCAGAGGAGGGTAAAGTTCAGCTCCTCCCTGCTGGGCTTTAGTTACATTTAGGGCATCATATGCCTTCAAAGAGGGGGGCAATTATTCATTATCGCCCACCCCTAATTCTTCAGTGATATGAAGCTGAAGTCAGATATTCACCAGCTTCTTGTTCGAATTTTCCCGTCCCACCTTAAATGGTGCAGCGGTTACATTCTGGCGCTTCGGGCGTCAGAACTGCTGGACTATTTAAGGTGGAACAGGGAAGTTTAGCTAGCTAGCTACTGAGACATCAGCTACTACTAGCAATTTCTTTATGCTTGTTATGAAGAAAAGAACCATAATACACTAAAGCGACAATAAACTAAGATAATACAGTGGTTATCGTAATTTTTTAACTGAGAAAATTCTCAAATTCGTGGGTTTCTTTGGTTGCTCGCTCAGCCATCTTGCCATTTTTCCTTTTTTTATCATAACACTTCGCCCTCCCCCTCAACCAGAATCGGGACACCCTACCCTCTAGACATGAACGCCCAAAACGGAGGGCTAAGGGCTAAGTGGTAGGGGTAATGGGTGAAATGGGATTGGGCCAAAGTCTCGCAAGCCAACGTTTAGTTACAGCTCTGGATTGATGCAAAATGGACAGCAATGGACTGACATTACCTATTGATTAAATATTAAATTTAAAATGTTGATTAGCTGGGCATACTGGCCAATAAGGATGCACATCTCTCAGTAAATAATAACCATCAGGTATTCAACCAAGCCAGAGTATAAATAGTGTTTTATATTTGAAAATCTAGGGCAGCCCATTTGAATGGGCTTGATGTTTGGCATGCTTACGTTTCTTGGTATTTATCTTAATGTTAATATTCACTTGTCTTCAAGATTATATGGAAAAGTTTTCATTAAATAAATATTGTTTGTTTACTTCATTCTGTTCTGTAGGTCTACTTATTCTTAGACTGACAGATTGAGCAAACTGTTAAAGGAGGGAGGATTGTAGTGGGAGCACTGAGGTTTCAGGTGTGCCTGTGTGGAAATTACAAAGCGTTTACACGGCTCATGGGTCAGGTGGGGGGGCCCCTTTGCAGAATTTTGCTTAGGGCTCCACGAAGGTCAGGACCAGCTCAGGTGGTCCAACCAGGGTTGATTCAGTTTTAAAAATGGAAAACAAGGCCGGCATCTCTGTGCCAGGGCTCTTCATTGAAGGTCACTGTAAAACTGCAAAAAATGGTAAAATATATGATAATGTGTCTCATATAAGATTCAAATAAAAACACAGAATTTTTTTTTTTTACAAGCTTCAAATTTTGTTTTAGAACAGCAATGCAAATTTGCTGTTAGCTGGACACTAACATACTACTACAATCCCATAGGGGCGCTAGGATAGCATTATAGAAGTATTTTGCAGCTTGTTTTTGACTGAATTGACATTTGTTACCCAAACTAAAGGCCTAGCATTAATATGTATGATTTGCTACTGCTTTTAATTGAGTATGACTGTTTGTTTACTTTCATTTAGGTATAATTTATCTGTGTTTTTCTACTCCTGCAAACTGGACACATTAAATATTCCATGTCCTGACACTGTGTGCGAGCCCAAACTCCTGTTTTTCCAATTACTGAGACAGATCTAATATTATCATAGTGGGTCCTTCTCAGTGCTTTTTCAGTATTAAGGTTACCATCGACTAAGGATTTTCAAATAAGGCTTTGGTCAACAGTGATTAGTCTCTTATGCATGCATAATGCAAAGTAACTGCCCTGGTGACCTTTCAGAAAGCTGTGGACGAAAAGTAGCCCAACTACCAAAGCAGAAAACCAGAGGTTGGAAAGGTAGAAGGAACATGTGAACGATCAGACAGGTGTGTGCGTGCATGGGAGGGAGAAGAAGATCCAGAGAAACGGCTACACCCACCATTCAGGAGTCACAGGTAACAGAGGGAGATCGAGCAAGCCTGAGAGAGAAAGAGAAGAAGAGAGAGAGAGAGAGAGAGAGAGAGAGAGAGAGAAACAGAGGGAGAGGGGGTGGACGGAAGCCAAGTCCAGCAGCGGCATTCCACTGAACAGAGCGGAGGAAAGTTAAGCGCTTCTCCAGATGTGGAGGGTTTGGACTTCTGGAGGCAGAGAGTGAAGCTCTCCAGCTAACGCTCCATCACTCCAAACACGCAGCGCTCCTCGCTTGGTTAAGATCGGTGGGGGAAAAACAGGAAAACAGCAGAAAGTGATCTCGCCAAAGTGCTCGCCGAACAAACTTACACTGAAGAACTTAAAATTCCAACTTCTTTTTTTTTTTTGCAGCCACGAATCTCAAGGTAAGCCAGATTCCGTGCAGATTTGATTAGTCGCATTTTCATTCATGTTGAGATCTGTTTTATTACTGGATGGTGATTAATAGCGCAGTGATTATACTTCAAAGTTACTTCAGAGTCGTAACTGTTTCATCATGTACTAGAACGTTCATGTTAATTCCTCTGAAAGTCAATGAGGTCTTTGCAGTCCAATTAAACTTTGCTCAGAAAACTTTTGGCCTCGGTGTATTAACCTCTGCTTTAGTGTGTTAACAAGAGCAGGAGTTTAAGAAAGTTAATATAAAAAGTGGTTCTGGCTCTTACATGCAGTCGTTTTGTGTCAAGAGTGATTCAAGTGCAAAGCTGCAGACAGGATGAAAAGAAGGGGTCATGGTTCATTGTTACCATATGGGGAAATGAGCCAGTGCTTTACAGCAGGTGAGGAAGGGAAAGTTCTACCTTCGGTTGCACCAAAGTCCAGTCGTTAAATAACAGCCTAAGTCAGCTCAGCTTGAGCTTGTGTGAAATGTGTTAGAGATGAGGAGCATATGAGTGACTCATATTACATATGCTGGCTTTTAAATCTCCCATAACAGAAAGCAGGAATATTCCATCAGTTCTGAAAGATCTGTAGGTTTCTATGCAAAAAGTTTTTTTGGGCACTTCAAAAAGTTTGCCAGTGTAGACTATGGAGAAAAAAATGTTGGTAACGGTTTCTGAATGTCAACAGAACTTTTTTCCATTCAATTTGTTTATCGATGCCCAAAACATCATGAAAACCTCAGTGGAAAATAACATTTATGCACCAATTTAGTGTCATATGAAAGATTCCACTCACACGCCTCTTACATGAAACACAAACAGCATGTCGGAGAGGTGTAGCTGGACTGAAGGGCTCATATCCTACATTTTTCTAGTATTTTCTTTTCTTTGCCCTGAGGATATGATGACATTTGGGTGGTTTTATGTACCAGTCATAATTCATATTTACATGCCCATTTTAAACCTCTTTATATCCCTTAAACTCTTTAAAAAGGTGGTTCTTTAAGGGTTTTTTATGCAAGACAGTGGTTCTGTATAGAACCATGAGCACTCAAAGAACCATTTGCATGTTTAAATGGTTCTTTGCTTGGGGAAATGGTTCCTTAGATTGAGGGAGAATGTCTTGTATTTGGTTCTGCATAGCACTGTTGTTACAAGCATCATCAACAGCAGCAGAAACCTTTTTCAAAAAGGTTCTATATAGAATAAGAACACATTCTCCATCAAGCCGAAAGAACCTCTTCACCAAGCAAAGAACCATTTAAGTATGCAAATGGTTCTATGAGTGTTCATGAATCTACATAGAACCATAGCTTTTACTAAAGAACCCTTGAAGAACCTTTTTTTTCCAGGCGTGTAGAATTTAAAAGCCTGTTATTGTTACCATGCCTTCAAGACTGATATGTAAATGACCTCTGTTCTGACTGGCTGCCCTGTTTTTTTTTTGGCTTATGCCATTTCTAACCTCATTGTGAGTGGGCGGAGCTAAGCTGCTGTGGTAGATATATGGAAGTGCGACAGTTTTCGTGACAAAAACAACCAATTCAAAACAGCTGTATGGACTGTGGACTGAATGGTACATTTAAACTTAAACAATATGCACATACTACATAAAAGCCTTTTATCAAAAAAAGCGCTGAAACTTCTGTTTTCCATATTAATGCGGCCTCTAAAAGGAATGCTGCCACTCTGAGATGTCCAGAACAGCCTACGGCCTTTCTAAACAGAAAGTGCTCTAACAGATCTATTTGGCATAGAGACAAAAAATACGCTTGTGATCTCTTGTATGATGGTTTCATGGTTAAAAAGTAATAACAATAAAATGATAAATAAAATAAACACAATATCCCTATCAGCAGATAATTGGGACGTCAGGGAAGCCAAAGGCACACAAGTTGCGACATGCATGTACTTAGAGACGGAAACATGACAAACACAACTTGGAAACATAGATAATGTAAAGATGAACTAGTGGTGTAACTTATTGAGTCTCAAGAGTTCAGCATGGTGTAAAACAACAGTTGGGTCTACAGTTGTGAAGTGATGGGCTACACGGGAGAGATGCGAATTGTTTTCATGGCAGGGGGTTCTCAGCCCTCCCCTTTCTCCCCTCATTGCTTGCTAACAGCTCAACAGAGTCATAACATTTCATACATAGACAGCCAACAGTGTCCAAGTTCATTATATTTTCATAAAATCATAAAAAGTCCATTTCCATTCTGTCACCACTAGGGGGCCTACAGAAAGAAGCTATGGCAAAATGCATTGATGCGGTCACACAAAAGGCTTCTGTCTCTACTGTAAACTGTTTTGACTTTTTTGCATAATTTGAAAATTCAAGCTACCCTGTTACATTTTCACAATAAACGGACCAATAAAAATGGTCTGCGGCTCCCAAGTGGCACAACCGTCTGAGGGTTGGCCCTGTCGTCAGGAGATGGTGAGTTTGATTCCTGGTGATGCTATAGCCATCCGTGGCCGGGAGTCCAAGAGAGCACAATTGGTCTCGCTCTCTGGGTGGGTAGGATGGCCCCTCGTCTCCCCCATCACTCAGTACGATGCTAGTCAGCGCAGGCGTCTGTTAGCTGACATAATAGATTTGGCGGTTGGCGCTTTCCTCTGAGTGCGTCCGGCTGTCCAGTGACGTGTTAGCAGCAGTTCGAAAAGATGCGGTGGCGCTTCACAGGTCTTGGAGAAAGCCTGTGTCAGCCTTCGCTCTCCTAGCACCGGTGGTATCATGTGACTGGGGGAGTCCTAATTAGTGGGTGAAACTAGATACGACTAAATTGGGAAGAAAATTGGGGAAAAAAATGACCTAAAATTACTTGTTATATTAACTTCAATTATAAGCTAAGAATGTTTTTTTTCCTGTAAAAGTTCACATTTTGGACATACAAGGTTTTGTATCTCCAGCAGTGCCAATATCTGTCTTAACTGATACAAAATTCTTCTCCAAATAAAGAAAATGTAGACAAAGTTTAATTTCAGTATAAACATACAGTACTGTGTAAAAGTCTTAGGCATCCGAGACAATTATATTTAAAAAGCTATTTAATTTGGCAGTGTGCATCTATATGCTCAAAAAAAATGCTAAAATTAGCATAAAAGTTTGATAAGAATATATTTTAGGAGATTTTATGAGTGTGCATGTGTTCATTCATATATTTTTTTTTCATACTATTTCTAGTTATCTTCCAATACCTAGTTTAACTAGATCAATGCATCATTAAATTAAATGAGGGTGTGCTGGTGGTGGATTTGAACAAATCTACCAAGGAGAAAAACATATAAACTATTTTTTTGTTATGGTCTACTCTATTAAAGTTTGTTTAGCTTTCATTTTAGTGTTACATGGTGTTTTTACAAGCAAAAATACATGTATTGTCCAGATAAATGGTTTGCTTAGATGCCTTTTTGCTTCATTTTGCTTAGAGGTCTTTTGCACAATACTGCCTGGTACTGTTAACGTTTTACATCATAAATGTGCTCTTTGTAGAAGATTTAACAAATTCCAGCAGTTATTCCTCTCTTGCTGCAGCAAAGAGAGGTAATTTCACCGGCATCTGACCGGAGTATCTGGAGGAGCGCGTTTTCTGAAATTACCCAAATCATCATGGGTCATTATCGTGCCACTGACAGGCAAATAAATCATGCCTCCTATTTTGTCTTATTCTGCCATTTTCACCCTCAGACTGAAGGAGCTTTGAGCAGCTCAAGCTAGAGAACAAGCGAAAAAAAAAGAAGACGTGGCCCTCACTGACTTTCTTTGCCCTGGAGTCTAAATATTTTGGCATTTAGGAAGCACTGCGCTTGTCATCATCCTCTTAAAGATTGTTGGTGTAATTGGGCTGTCGAGGGCTTGCTAGCAGAGGCTTGCGGTATGAAGCTAATGCCGTGTGCTTCCCAAGGAAAACACTTGAGCAATGATTTATTTCGCGAGGACTCAGCAGTCCTGTGGGGGCGGAAAGACGTGACACCAAATATCTCACTCGCTCTTATTGCACAACGCACAGTATAAATATAAAGAGGGGTCACGTTTCAAAATAAATCTGCCAGTTATTTTCTATTTATTCCCCACTTGTTAATGTTTCGTGCATTTTACCATAGAAATCATTCTGGTTTCTTCAAACTATTCTAAGACATTGTTTTCAGAAATATAAACATGCCTGAAATACTAGCACGGCTCTACCACATGACACTTAGCACGCACAGTAGCCAACCGTGTCATGAGAAGTTCTTTGTGGCCAGTGAGTCATGGCATAATAGGGATGTCACCATGTCTTGCACAAAGCAGTGGTGAAAGATACCCAGGCCAAGTTCTGTTTAGAAGCAACGGCAACAGAGTGCAACTGCTCCCCCTGGCCTTGTTTATCATGCTAGCTATTATTAAAATTATGTTAGAGCAGCTTACACTGACTTCCTGGCTATTTATGAAAATGATTCATCTTCACAATGGTGCTCTGGCTCATACTTACACAGATTTACTGTCCCCAGGTCAGAGGATGGCATGAGAGAGCCATGGCTCCCCTGGGTGTCCCTGCTCCCTGGCTGAAGGCAGCACTGCTGCTGCTCCTCCTCCTCTTCTTGCCTGCATGTCTATGTGCATGCCCAAGGTCCTGCAGCTGCCCCAACCCAAAGGAGGTGCACTGCACCTTCCGCCATCTCCCTTCTCCCCCACGCAATCTGCCCAAGGACACAGAGAGAGTCAACCTGGGGTAGGCAGTGCTGTTACTACCATTCTGACGTTTATCATCGCCGCACAGAGGTTTACAATCAATGTGTTAAATAATACAGAACCAATTGGTTGCATTAGTTGGATGTAAATCAATGTAAAGATGCTGAAAAGGGTTGTTTAAAATGTTTAAAGAACACGAGGAAGAACCCTTAAACTGTACTAGAACCTTTACGTTATGGGAAGGTTCTTTAAACCTTTAAAGTTCTTCACGCTAAAAGGTTCTCCAGGTTATCAAAAGTGGTTCCTCAGTAGCACCTTCAAAAAGACTTTGTGGCACACTTCTTAAAGACTGCAGAATGATGAAGATAGATGAATGTGGAAATTATGAAGAATGAAGCTGTAAATCAAGTTCATATATAAAATAATATGTAGAACATCTAAAAAGTACTATTTGGGGTTATTCAATTTAAAGTTAAAACGTATATCATTGTACATTGTGAAAGTTACTACTGTATATATTTTTATAATAACAAATATAACAAGTGATTCCAAACTGTCGAATTGTATATTTGAATAGAGGGGAGTCCATTTAAACCCATAGCTAATTACAAGAGTAACTAGCAGAAATGAAACATTTCAAAGGGGACATTAAACGGTGCATAATAAAGCAGGGATGCACCGAAATTTCTCCACCAATTTTCTCAGCCGAATTTACAGCCATAAAAAGAAAAATGGCCACAAGAGAATAAAACAATAAACAAACATCAAAAAGCCTACAATATTCAAAAATCTATGATTTTACACCATTTTAATGGTAATGAAATTGAAAAACAGTGATTAAAAATTACAATCTCTGCTCATGTCAATCATGTGGATGTACAGCACCCACAAACTTATCAACTACAGGTGTGATACCCTTTGAAAACACAACATCCTGCTTAATATGCAGAAAACGGCTAAACAAAAGAAACAAAATGAAGCCCTGCAAGCATTCCAACGCCATTTGTGGCCTTCGTTTTTGAAAAGATGAAAAAATAAAAAATATAGTGCAAAATATAACTAAAAATAATGGAATTAATTGGCTTGGATGATCAACTGTTCTCTTTTGTCCTGGATTATTTTGTGGCACATACTGTAGCTTACATACTGTAATAATTTTAGTAAGTTTATTTTATGTAAACTACTTTTATTTTTCAGTTTTCGGCCTAGTGTGCCCTGAATTTCGGTTTTGTCCGAGTTGGCCACATTATTATACTTTGTTATACTACTACAGCATATATTGTTCATTTTGGTGTGATGCACTTTTAAATGTCTTATTCCTGGTAACACATCTCCACCTCAAGTGAAAGCAATTGTTCCAAAATAACAGGAGATTTCACAAGGAACGCATTAAAGATTGGACTCGACCCAAACCGACAGATATATTTCATCTGGAAGTTTTAAGTAAATCCTCATTCATGATTTCTCTTATCTCCCACAAAGCTATAACAGCATTGTGGCTGTGGGGCCCTCAGATTTCGAGAACCTGCGCCAACTAGAGATGCTTATGCTGCATGGGAACGACATCAACTCTGTGGCTTCAGGATCCTTTTACCACTTACGTTACCTCCAGGTGTGCAAGCATGCATGTATGTCTGTGCCTGTAAAATGAAATATGTATTTTGTCAGGAAATCGTTTACCGTTTCACTGCACTGAAATATACACTATCCCTCATTAATGCCTTTGGCAAAACTGCAAAAAAGGTCATACGAGGTACAGACCTTACTCTGCTCAGTCACCTATTGTCTCCTATTTAGCTCTAAACTTATATCTATGTAGCTGCATGTACATGTCAAATGCAGCAGTGAAAGCCACCGTGCACTGACTGTTCATTTTTACTCCCACAGATATTGAAGCTGAGCTACAACAAGCTAAAGTCAATAGACCCCAGTCTGTTTGATGGCCTGACGAGCTTGGTGCGCCTCCACCTGGACCACAACCTAATCAGCTTCATCGAGCCTTTCTCCTTTAATGGACTAACTTCACTGAAGCTGCTTCAGCTGGAAGGAAACAAGCTGCAGGATCTGCACCCACACACATTCACCACCCTCTCTCTCCTGGGAACTTTCTGGGGATCGGGCCTGCGGCACCTTCACCTTGCAGACAACAAGCTAGAGTACCTGCTGCCTGGCACTCTTCAGCACCTGAGCAGGCTGGAGGTCCTTTCCCTGCACGGCAATCCCTGGACCTGCGACTGCCACCTGCGCTGGCTCTTAGAGTGGAACAAAAAGCATGAGGGTGAGATTCGTGCAAACCGACGAGAAACTTAAACCTACACTTTGTTACAGGATGGCAGGGAAGCAGACCCAAGTGCAGAGAGGAAACCCGTGAGAAAGGGTATTAAATGAACTAATGAGGTGATGGAGTGTGAATGGAGTGATTCTGCACATTGGGATTGAGGTGGATCAGAGCAAAGACACCTTAATGATTGGGAATGAAAAAAACGGCAGGAAAGGGCAGACAAAGGGGACGCTGGAAACGGTGGGCTCAAACAAAGGCTGAGATAGAAAAGTAAAATAAAAGATAACCAGAAAACAAAAAACACTTCCTTTGTAATTATGAGAGAAAGATCAGTTTAATGTTTCACCTTTTTTTTCCACTTTTTGTTTGGCTTGGAGCCGTTTCTTGTTTAAGCCCTCTTTTTGTCTTTTCGGTAGTTTTGGTGCAATTTATTCCTTTAGGTCGTCTTTTTCTTCTTTCTGGAATTTTTTCAGCCCTCTTTTTTTCTTTTCCTTGCCTGACACTGAGTACCATACCAGTCACCCCTCTGCAAAGGTGTGTCAAAGGGCTGCTGTTTGCCATGGCCTTAAGTAGAGAACCCCACAGGTGTGCCAGTTTGGCCCTAATCAGTCCGAAGACTTCTGGGAATTGAAGTTCCCTGAACTGGTGGCGCCTCACTGCCATTGCCCTCTGCTGGTGGCCAGTGGCACAGGCTGGATCCTTTCAAATTTGGCCAGAAACTCAAGATCTTGCACTTTGGCCTAATCCTAGAGGTTAAGCCTTTCTGATTAATTAATAAGAAACTAGAACAAAATTGTCACAAAAGTGATTTGATTCAATAAAAATAATTGGATCAGTCTTCAGAGAAAACCTCTCCGAAGAAAAGCCTTTCAATTTAATCCTGAGTTAAGAGAGATACTTGTTCTTTCAATGCTGTAGCACCATCAATTTTGCCCTCTTTCTCTTTTTTTCTTATTCGAGCATTTTATATTTCCAATTCAATTTTGTTGTTGTGCTCCATAATTCACCAAAATGTGAAATATTTGATACGGAAGACTTTTAATCAAATCAAATTTCTTTGGCATCCAGTTGAGACCAATACTGACAGTAAGTACTAACAAGTTCTATAATTAGCATGTAGAAAATTTATTCTTATTATTTATATCAGTGTTGGCAGATATGAGCTTAAAAAATATCAACATTGGACAGATGTATAGATTTGACCAATATTTCAAACCACTATTTGATGATGTAATTATTGTACTCCAGAAGAGCAGAATATTTTGGTGATGTTGGGCTACTATGCTAATAATGTCTGTGTTATTCATTTTACTGCATTTATGGCCTAAAATAAATAAATGTCAAACAGGGTGAAAAGATTCATCTGATTTCAAAATGATTTATTTCACTTGTAAATCATTACAGAACAACGCAGTGAATTGTAAATGGTTTAAGTGAGTTTAATATGTAGTTGTACAAGTGCTCAGTATGAACCTCCTCCAGCTGTACGGACAAGATCATTGCCATAGTCAAATTCATCCCATACTGGATTGAGCATGTCGGGTGTCACTGTATTCACGGCTCTTTCAGTGCGATTTCAGAGATCATCCAGTGTTGTGGAACCAACGACGAACGCTCTGAGCTGTTGGAGGTTCACTGCCGACAAAATCACGCTGCACAGTTATGACAGATTCACTTTTATTGAAGTGGAGAACGCAAAACACTTTCTGATCAGGGGTCTCCATCTCCTCACAGACTGAAGGGAGCCATCTTCCGGTGACAGTCAGAAACTCTATGACCCCCTCTTTCAATTGGTATGTGATTGGTTCCTAGATGCCTCACGGTTGTAAAAATATGGCGCTTTGAAATCGGATGAATCTTTTCAAATCACCTTGTATATTCCTGTAGTGTAATGCAGGCTGATGTAGTCCTGGATTCCATATGTAGTCCCCCATTCCATTCCATATTTATTATGTATCACTATGGCCATAGTGATAAAAATATGAAAAATATCAGATATCAACACTGGCTATTCTGTTTCTAAAAAATGTAAACCAATGTCCTGAATCTTTTTCCTAAACGTTAGTGATCTAATAGGCTTACAGTGGACATTTTAACCTGTACGAACACTCTTACTTTGTCTCTGCAGGCATAATTAAGTGCAAAAAGGACCGGGACTCTGCAGCTGCTGAGAACTGTGCCATATGTGCCTCACCACAGCCCCTCAACAACAGCCAGATTTTCCAGCTCTCAGCTCACCAGCTCTCCTGCGACAAACCCACCCTCCAGTCCCCACTGAAGATAGGGGAGAGCAGTGCCTGGGAGGACCAGGAGCCAGATCTTCCTTACGTCAAGGACTTGGAGCGTCCACTCGGCCACTTGACTTTCATGTTGTCCGACAGCCACGGGAACAGGGCCCATGTGGCTTGCGAGGTAACTCGCCCAGTTGAAGGAACATCCATGGTGTGGGAACAGCTGAGGAGGTCAGACGAGGTGGCAGTGAACGTGACCCTGCTGACCTTACTTGAGTGCGAGATTGACAGGGAGGCTCTTCAGAACCTGTGGAGGCTTGTGGCCTACTACTACGAGAGTCCAGCCATCCTGGAGCGAGGAGCCAGGCATGAGAATACTTCCAAAGTGACATTTCAGTATTCCCAGGCCACAAATGAGGACTCCCCTTACTTTACTGAACTCAAAGGACATTTGATGGCTGAACCATCCTGGCTTTTGCAACCTAGGGTCACTCTTCAGCTGAACAGGCGGAAGACCACAACAAAAAAGCTAGTGCTGAACTTCTCCACTTTCATATCAAAAAACGTCAATGGTAGGGGTGAGAAAGAAGATGCAGCCTCTTCTTGGGCTCTGATCCCGAGAGGAGCACCGGGAAGGATCCAGATAGTGCTGGAGCACTCTGAGGTTACTCTAGAGTGTAATATTCTGAGCTCAGGACAGCAGTCTGTGGAATGGATGCTTCCAGACCTAACTACTTTCGAAAAAACTGATTCCCACAGGCTTGTGTCGGAGCATAACAGACTGATCATCAAAAACACAAGCTTGTCAGACAGCGGGCTCTATCACTGCTTTGTGAGAACTGAGGCAGATGTGGACATAGTTGCATATAGGCTCACGGTTAGGGAACGTCTCCTCAGTCCCAGTGACTTAAATGGAAAGAAGATGACTGTGGAGAATGGAGAGGCACTCAGTCTTCCCTGTTCAGTTACTTCATCTCAGCCAATTGAGACCAGATGGTTCCTACCAAAGCATGAGAGTCTAAAGGCATCCAATAAAAAGGGACGAATCTATGTGTCACAAAATAATACACTGGTCATTCAAAATGTTATGCATGAGGATGCTGGGGAATATAGCTGTTTAGCAGCTAACCTTCATGGGGCAGACATGCTGTCTCATCTGGTTGTTGTAACTGGTGAAAAAGAGGAAGATCCAACAGATGTTAGCGAAGTCAAAGCTGAATCATTCTTATTTGACAGGGAGGAAACAGAGGGGTCAGGATACCAAGAAATCAAAACGCCAGCTTCTAAACAAACACCACAGAGGGTGGATGGAAAACATAGGGGTTCCGGGGGAATTTATCGACAGGGTTTTAAAGGAAAGAGGATCAAGGATAATGTGAGGAAACCAAATAAATCTGTCAAAGAGCTTGATCCAGGCCGCTGGGCACAAATATTAGCAAAAGCTAATGCTAAAGTCTCAACCGTGCAACCAGCAACAATTACGACAAGACTTGTAGCGACAACAACAGTGAAAACAACTACTACGACAACGACAACAACAACTCCTGCTCCTATGACTCCTTCTCCTACTACATCATCTAACAGCGCTACCACTGGAATACATATACATGATTTCAGTAAACAGTTGGTACAACCACCTCATGGAGAGCACACAGACCAGAGTTCAGCAAAGAGAGAACAACTGCATCAAAAGACCAGTGATTTCGACATTCCAATCTTGACCACAGTAAGTCATTACTCACCCACAATATCCCCTACAAAACCCAATATGGAGCATGTGACACAGCCAGAGAAAAAGACAGATAGACACATAATACAAGAGAAAATAAGAGCAAACAGCAACCCCATCTCAACCAAAAGACGAAGGCCCCCATACGGAAGAAGGCCTCCACCAAGAAGGTTACGCCCACAGAAACCTACCCATCCTCCACCAGCCACAATAAAACTAACAATCACAACACCATTAACTGCAGCAGCTCCTAGATCTATCTCCCCCATAGATACTCACTTACAAACTACAAATAAAAGCACAGAAAAAAAGCTTTTCACAGATTCACAAATTAGAAATGAACACGACTCTGGGGTTCAAGACAATCTGAATGTGGCAGTAAGACAGAAGCCTCCTCCAGTTTATAAAAAAGAAGAAAAGTTTACTGAATTTCAAGATAACAGCAAGTATCAAGAAACAGCTGAGCTCACAAGTGCAACACCTCTTGCTCCTGCCACACTAGCAGCCACTCAAGTTAAATGGTATGGACATGAAAACAGAGAGGACACGGATTGGACTGGTGGTAAGACACATAAAGAAAAATTTAGGATAATAACTACAAGTCCACCTAGCATTGAAATCACCAATATTAAACCAGTTATAACACAGGAGGTTCCACTAACCACCGAGACGCCAATCCTGAGTAACTTCAACAGGCAGAGAGTGGACAACTCACCAGTCAGACCTGAAAGCCCTGGCTTGCCTGTCCACCCCTGGCTAACCCACAAAAAAACCCAAATGTCAATTACACCAAGGCCTTACACTCCACCTCCCTCCTGGACTTATACCAACCGCATCCCAGTGCAGCCCACAGTTCATGGATCAAGGCACCACTCCTCACTTGACAGAACATGGCATTTACCGCACACCAGCGGAAGGAGTGCAGGGGTTACTAATCGACCCGAAATAACAGCACAAACAGCAAAGCCCACAGCTTATATCCCTTGGTCAGCAGCAACTGGCTTTCCCCGAACTGAACCACCACACAGCAGCACATCTTCTAGAGTGAGAAACTACTTGCTCTTTAACAGGCTTCGAAACAGATACCGGCAATCTCAGCTTGATGCTTACCGCTTATCACAGCTAGGAAAACTAATCACTCCTAAACCGAGAATTCACCAACCAACCCTGAGACCTCATCCAACTCCAAATTTTCCAAGCATCTACAAGCCTGTGACACCCCCTTCTGTTGTAGAAGCTACCAGCAAACCACACACCACAGCCAGCATTCTGTATGGCAGCCGCTGGCACTACAGTCACTCTGGAATAAAGAAACTGAGCACTGCACTTCCCTTTCCCAACCTTATGGGTAGTGGTGCGAAACCCAGGATCATTACAACAGACTCGGTTACTGTGTCCGCACTGGCAGAGGCAAATGTCATCCTGCGCTGTCAGGCATCAGGAGACCCTAAGCCTGCTATTTCATGGACTAAAGTCTCCACAGGTGGGTGACTTCATATTGTACTTGGAATACATTCTTGAACTGAAGGAATAATGTTTTTACCCTTGATGCAACTAATACAGTATATACACACAGACAACATGTGCATTAAAATGTATATGAGATTAGCAGGTATTACTAAATTTGGGAAAAAAACACATGCCATGTTTATCTGAGCAGCAATGGAGTTTACATCAAAATAGAACAAGAGCTTATGCATCAAGGGGGAATGTACAGACATATGTACAGATATTTATGTAGTTTAACCACCTAAATGATTACAGAGTGGCACCATACTGAGAGCTACGCATTTTGCAAAGCAGCCAACTGAGTGCAGAAAGGAACTCCTGCTGTTTTGGCTTAGAAACAAGCTAAAACTCAGTTGTATGAAGAAGGCAATAACAATCTGTTAAGTCTTCTAAGGCAGGAACAGACATGACTCCTTGACTGTTTCTTTCTGTATCTCCTCTACAGGTGCTACAATTCAAGCCAACACCAAACATGGACAAAGATTTGAGGTACTTCCAAATGGCACTTTTGTTATAAAGAACGTCCAGCTTCAAGACAGAGGTCAGTACCTTTGCACTGCTCAGAACAAATTTGGCTCAGATCGCATGGTGGTCACACTCACTGTACAGACAGAACCTCCCAAAATAGAGGGCCCCAAGTACCGACACACCTCTGTGTACCTGGGGAAGCCATTCAGCTTGGACTGCACTGCAGTGGGAAAGCCCCAAGCCCAGGTCTCCTGGATACTTCCTGATAAAACTTTTGTACGGGAGGTGGAGGTCCTGGACAGAACCATCTCACTATTTCCCAATGGAACACTAAGCATTCACACTGCAAACTTTTCAAGTAAAGGTGACTACAAGTGCATTGCTAGTAACGCTGCAGGGGCTGACACCTTGACCTACCACCTGCATGTTGCTGTACTGCCACCAACCATCAAGGAAGAGGCATCTGAGAGCATATCCATTAACAATGGCAGGAGCATCTATGTGCATTGCACAGCTAAAGGGGAACCTGCACCTCTTCTTAAGTGGAGTCTTCCTGATGGGTCACAAATGAAACCTACACAGTTTATCGGGAGACGACTCTTTATTTTCCCCAACGGTACACTGTACATCAAAAGTGTCGCTCCTACAGACACAGGGAAATACGAATGCTCAGCCACAAACACGGTGGGCTTTGCTAAAAGAGTGGTGAATCTGAATGTCAAGCAGGAGTCTCCAGATCCCTGGAAAGGTCCATCCCAGCAGCACATTGTCTCAGCCATGTATGGCTCCACGGTGTTCCTGCACTGTCCTGAGTCCACCGGCTCCCACAGGGGCACTGTTTGGAGGTTACCTTCTAAAATTCTGCTGGAACATCGCTACAGGTACCAATTTTATGTCATTTTTGTGTTATTTTCTGTTATTATTGTAAAGTATGTGCGAGAAATATGTTACTGTATCACTAGAAGTAAAAAGGCAGGAGAGTCATAGAGGTGGCTTCCTTTTCCTTGCATCTGCAAATGTTCTCTAGTTCCACCACAGTATAAATCAGTCTTTCTACAGAAAGATAATAACCAATCCACATGCCCAGCGATGTACGAGACATTTACAAAACACAGCTGGTGTGAGATAATTAAAAGCATGCATGAACATTAATCAAACAACTAGCATTCGCTCTATTACTGGTACTTCAAAAGCCACTGCATATCATTACTGTAATTTAAACAATGACTGATAAATGTTAAACAGCTTGTGGTGTCAGTCAGGAAACCCAAATAAACCCTGCTGTTCCAGACAATACAATAGTCTCACTCAGGAATTGTGACTTCTATGAGACTTCAGTTAAACCTCACAATGCAAGGGGGTCGTTCTCCAGAAACGTCCACTTTTCTATCTATCCATAGGTGTCACTGGTGTTACTGATTGTCATTGGTGTTACACATAATAAAGGTAACACCAGAGACATTTTTAATGAAAAGTGCATTTTACAAAATGGCTGCTACAGAGCACCAAACCACATGTTGTCAATCATGGAATATCCACTAAAATATGGAATTTAATCCATTTGTATTCTATTTTTTCACAATTACCTCAGAATAAAGTCGGTCACACCAGTGACTTCAGATAAAAGCTTCATATGAAATCATGAGCTAAATGAGAAAATCTCTGATAACTGAAAGACACAGTGGACTCACCATGTGCTTTTCTTCATAGATCAGAAAACAGGTAAACGGACGTCAAGTGATGTCATCAGTGTGATTTTTATTTCAAAATAAGAGAATTTTTGTTACGCAGTAAGACCAGTGACACGACTCCTGGGGACCACAACTTTCATTATATCCATCCATCCATCATCTAAACCGCTTATCCTTCTGGGTCGCGGTGGGGTGCTGGAGCCTATCCCAGCTACTTTCATTATATATTTTATAATAATTATTCGGCATTTGTTTTCTTTATGTCATTTAATTCATACATTTCATAGTCATGTATAGATTATTGTAGTTAAAATTGCAGAAAAACATTTCTTCAAAATATGGCCTCAGCCTTCACACATGACTGTGAGGATGAGCTCTTCTGTGGTGCTTGGAATTCTAAATAATTGATTTAAAAACCAATATTGCTAAATTGAGGCTCAAGAAGGTGTAACTGTTAAAATAACTTATTGTTTTATTTAAAAATATAAATGAATTTTAACCCAAACATGTTTTTAAAGTGTAATATATCTGTAAATGTTAGGGACACAAAAATGGACGTTTCTGTAGAATCACCCAAAAGTTAAACGATACATTAACCAAACCTCACATTTACCTCTTTTTCCCCTAAACTAACTGTGAGCCAGAACAAAGCTATAAATTGTCACAGAACAAGGCCGTCTCAAAGAATACTAAAATAACAACAGTCAAAAGTGAGAACGCTTTGATCATGCAAAAAGAAAATAAAAGGTTGGCACTAGAGAGAGTACAGCTTTCATGTTGCTTTAAAATAACAATGCATGAAAATGTTGTGAACAGACTATTTTTCTCTATTTTTGTCTCCAGTCCTCAGAGACACATCACCGCTTTCCCTAATGGCACTCTGAGGATCCTGCGGCTGACTGAGAAAGATAGAGGCAGTTACCTCTGCATGTATCAAAGGCCCAATGGAGAGGACATGGAGCTGTTTCAGGTGGAGGTCCTGATGAAGCCACCTAAGATAAAGAACGTGGGCAGTCAGCAAAAGAGAGTCACTAATGGAGAGAACTTTCTTGTGGACTGCGTAGCTTCAGGTCTTCCAGACCCTGAAGTGTCGTGGAGTCTGCCTGATGGCACAATAATAAACAATGCTCTCCAATCAGATGACAGTGGATCTCGCAATCGTCGCTACATTATCTTTGGGAATGGCACGCTCTTGTTGCAACAGATGGGGAAAAATGATGAGGGTGATTATACATGCTATGCAAAGAACACACTGGGTGAGGACGCAATGAAAGTGAGCGTCCAAGTCATTCCAAATTCGCCCCGAATTTCCTCCAAGGACCAGGCGTCTCTCTGGGCTCCTCTCGGCCATGCCGCCCAGATGATGTGTGATGCAACTGGTGAACCTCCACCCGCAATTATTTGGATTTCACCAAACAATGAGATGATAACATCGTCATCAGTCAAATATCAGATACTGAATGATGGGACACTGATCATTAAAAAGGTGACTTTAGCAGACCAAGGAAAGTATGCATGTGTTGCAAGGAACTCAGCTGGGGATGACATTAAGAACGTGAAGCTCCAAGTAGAGGTCAGGGAGCCACATATCAATGGAAAAGGGGGGCGGACAGAGAGCAAAGTTTTGGCGGTCTCCTATCAGACTCTGCTTCTGCACTGTAAAGCCGAGGGCATGCCTGAGCCCCACATAATGTGGACCACATCATATGGCATGTCCCTGCCTTCACCTTACTTGGGGGGCAGGTTTCAAGTCCACAGGAACGGTACTCTTGAATTACGAGGTGTACGCAAAACCGACGAAGGTCGGTTTCTGTGCGTGGCCAAAAATTACCTTGGAGAGGCAAGCCTTGCAGTTGACCTCGAAGTTGCATCACTTGCTGAAAAGCCAAGCTTCCCAATGCCAAATATTGAGGTTCTACCCCTCAAACCAGATGGAGATGACATCACTTTGGAGTGCCGGGCCATTGGAAAGCCAAAGCCAGAGTTTGTCTGGATTCTTCCCAACAGCACAGTGCTGGCTCCAGGCATGAAACTTAAGAGGTTTATCCACTCCTTGGGAAATGGGACTTTGCACATTATTCAGCCGGTGCCCAGTGACAAAGGTGTTTATCGTTGCCTGGCCAAAAATGTGGCAGGACAAGCAGAAAAGCGCTATGCTTTAGAACCTGGAAGGAAGCCACAAATTCGAGGTACGGCTGCCCCAATGAAAATTTCATTTGGACAGACACTGAACATGCCATGCACAGTGGATGGCTGGCCCCAAGCAACTATCACCTGGACTCTTCCAAATGGTCTGGTACTGGACAGACCTCAGGTTATTGGAAGAGTCACTTATTTATCTAATGGAACCCTTCAACTTAGAGAAACTGCTAAATTTGACAGGGGAACGTACATCTGCAAAGCCACTAACACATTTGGATCATCAATACTCTCATACCCTGTGACAATTATGGTGTTTCCACCACAGATCACTAATGCACCCCCCTCTATAACAAGAGTTACAAAGGGGTCTCCGGTGACCCTAAGCTGTGTTGCTACTGGCATTCCTAAGCCAGAGATCTCTTGGACTCTACCTGGACGTACCACTCTTGTGCCTAATAATCGCTTCACTGCACTGGGTGGCATTCACATGACAGAGGACGGCAGTTTGGTCATACAGGATCCCAGCCTTATGAACTCAGGAATTTACAAATGCAATGCCAAAAATGCCCTGGGAATGGACTTCAAAGCAACATACCTTCAAGTGATATGAATGTGTTCAGGAGTAAGAGATCTGAACTTAACTTCAAACAACATATGGACACTTGTAAACACATGTAAATATACCTAAAAAAGACATCAACTCCAGTTAAAGCTCACAAAATAATATCAGCAATATATAAATGGGCATTATTTTTCTTTTTTTTTAAAAAAAGAGTAATAATTTTGTTGGAACAAACAAGCTTAAAGTACTGTGCAAAAGTCAGAGACCACCCTTCATATGTTTAATTTACAGTTAAAATGACAAGTTATTCATTTTTCAGCATCAGGAAAAAAGCAGAAAATATACATTAATAAGCATTTACACAGAAATATCACAGAATAAATGTATTATCAGTTAAATTGTTCTCGGGGGACAACAAGTTGGTTGCTTTTTCTGCTTCTCACATTCTCAAACACATTCAGTGATGTTGAGGTCTGGATTTTGGGGAGGCCAGTCCATCGTTCTGAAACACCAACAGTTTCTTTGTTTGATTTGCATTTTTTTAACTATTTCCAGATTTTTTTTCAGATCTGAAGCAAGAGTGAGGCTTGATTTCAAAGATGAAAGCTTTAAGTATTGTTTACCTGTTTTTTTCTAACAGCTTTAGTCTGTCAGGTCTTGCATGGTTGTTAGGAGTCCCATTTACTTTTTTGAGCACCAGTTTTGGAAACTTCTGTTTTTCCACTTATTTTCCTTTCACTTTTCCCTTCTTTGTGCAAGTGGATTGTCATATATCTCTTGAAAAATGAAAGTCTTACAGTTAATGGCTGTTTTGACTGGAAATTAAATAAATGAAGGGAGTTCTCTGACTTTTGCACTATTTTTGGACATTTTGTACTTAATTTATGGAAATATTGGTTTGTACATAAAATGATATATTCAGCTATATGAAGCATACATGTTTGTGTGTTTTTGTAAATCTCAAAATAGATTTGATCAGATTCCTTTAAGATAGAGGCTGAGCAGCTGAATGTTCGGAGCATCAATGTACATCTAATATATACCCTCAAGATTCCATGCATTTATAAGCCAGAACAAAGCATCCTTTCACGCTGAGAGCAGAAGGGGGCCTTGTATGGCGTAAAATGTTAGCATTGTTCTGGTGGCTGCACCAGAGATGAGACACAAGCAGCCAACTCTGTGAACTACTTACTGCCACACTTGGGAGAGTAAAATGGACATGATGGGCACATTTATGAAAACTAATAATAAATTGCTGTGTAGCCTAAAAAATCAGGAGTATGTGTTCACATCCTGTTGCCCATTTTAATTTGGATACTGCATTTACTACTAAGATTTGCACAATGTAATGAATTTGGGCTGTAAAGCTCATGTTTAAGTCATTATTGCAGACCATACAGAAATCCGATATATGGCCATATAGCGCTGCTGTCGGAAGGAAACCTCGTATCTCCATTTTTGTCATTTTTCAGTTTTTGACATCATTTGAAAAAGCACGTTGCCCTTTGCATTGTCTGTAAATTTCACGATGAAAGGACCAACAGAAACAGCCCAAAATTACTTGTAAAAAAGTCTGGTTCCATTGACTTACATTAAAAGTAAAGCATGTTTTTTTTCTTCTCCAAAAGTTACTATTCTGGAGATACAAGGTTTTGTTCCGACAACAGCGATATGCACCTGCATCATAGGCATATATTTCAAAATATATGCACATATATATTACGTATGAGGTATGAGTGTATATATATATATATATATATATATATATATATATATATGGATCATACATAGCTATGTCTGATACAAACACTGAAAAAAATATACGTGACATATATATGACATGAAGCTATGTCATCAACATGAAGCTAATATATGCCAGTCATATGATTAGTCCTTTCTGTCAGTAAATATATATTATATAATAATATTTTATCTATAATAATAATGTAATACAATATCAGTCATTGATATATGACTGAAATATATGTCCCATATTTGAAAATGGCCAGTTTCAAATAAGTTGGCATGTATGTCAAATAGATAACCATGTGGGCCTAACATAAGTTGGATATGATGGAAATCCACATATGCTATTTCAAATCCATACACTGCCACACATCAGATGATTTCCGTATGGTTGATTAGCATTAATGAGACAGCCTAACCAGCCATCACATACACTGTAGTCCCATCGCATCCAACACTGCATCAATCGCATCTATTACCATGCACTTGCCTGCCGTCCCAGCCTTTGCATCTGCATACGGGAAAGAAGCAAAGGGAGTGGATGTGTGTGCCACCCCTTCCCCCATCCTCCCGAGCAGAGAGCAGCGGTGCACGGGCGTGTGTCCATCGGCTCACCGTTATGGCAAATGAAGCGGCTGAAAACAGGGGACGAACTGGAACCGCGCGCGATGCCAACCTCACCTCGTCCCTGGAGCTGAGCTCGTCTCTGGACCACAGCGTGCAAACGCGGATTTTTAAGATCATCGTCATCGGGGACTCCAACGTGGGCAAGACGTGCCTAACCTTCCGATTCACCGGCGGGTCCTTCCCCGACAAAACGGAGGCCACGATCGGGGTGGATTTCAGGGAGAAAGCGGTCGAGATCGAGGGCGAGAAAATAAAGGTAAGGTCATAAGGATGAGGCGGGCATTGTTGTTGTCTCAAACGCCCACGGTTCGTGACATGTTGTGTTTCAGTTCGGTTCAAGGCAATGAATCAGTCTGGCAGCAGCAGGAAATGCCTCTTGTGTTTGGTTCCCTTTCTATTTGCGCTCAGATTAACGCCTGGCTGTGAGCGACGGCGCTGTGTGGGGGCTACCAGGCTCCTGCTCTGCTTTGCCGTCCATTGTGCCTCCCGTTCCCCCTGTTCACTTGCCATAATAATGCGCTCCAGTCATTACAATTCCCAAGAGGCGCGTCCTCATTTAACCTTGGGACGGCGGGTTGAAGACGACAGGCCTGTCTTGGGGGCCCTGCAGCTCTGTCGTGCTCTGTGTCCCTGGATGAAGCAGCTGAGAGATGGACTGAAAATCAAATGGAGGCCCCTGGTCTGATTTGTAGTGGGCTGAATGGGACCGAGCTCAAGCGGTGCGCTGCTAATGTAAACAGGCTTGTCTACATGAACTAAACAAAGATGGTTCTTCAGGGGTTCTTCAGTTGTATGACTTCTATATAGATCCATTTCATGCTTAAATGGTTCCCTGCATGGTGAAATCGTTCTTCGGATTGATGGAGAATGTGTTGATTCCATTTAGAACCAAAAGGGTTTTGCTATATTTTTACGATGTCAAGCTTGTATCAACAGAAGAACCCTTTTTGGTGCTATATGGAACCATTTTCAATAAAGGTTCTATACAGAATCATATACAACACACTCTCCGTCAATCCTAAGGTACCATTTATAGAAGTCACGGTTCTAAATAGAACCATTTACTTAACTACACACTTAAAAATGGTTGTTCTTCAAGGGTTCTTTAGTAAAGAAAATGGTTCTATATAGAGCCTTGAACACTCAAAGAACCCTTTGCATGATTAAAGCGTTCTTCAGATTGATGGGGAATGCGCTGTATGTAGTTCTATATAGAACCAAAAAAGGTTTTGCTATTTTTATAATGTCAAGCTTAGAACCATTTTCAAAAAGGTTTTATATAGTATCGTATACACACATTCTTCATCAATCCTAAGAACCATTTCACTAAACAAAGATGGTTCTTCAGGGGTTCTTCAGTTGTATGACTTCTATATAGATCCATTTCATGCTTAAATGGTTCTCTGCATGGTGAAATCGTTCTTCGGATTGATGGAGAATGTGTTGATTCTATTTAGAACCAAAAAGGGTTTTGCTATATTTTTACGATGTCAAGCTCGTAACAACAGAAGAACCCTTTTTGGTGCTATATGGAACCATTTTCAATAAAGGTTCTATATAGAATCATATACAACACACTCTCCGTCAATCCTAAGGTACCATTTCACCATGCAAAGAACCATTTAAGAATGAAGTGGTTATGTATAGAAGTCACGGTTCTAAATAGAACCATTTACTTAACTACACACTTAAAAATGGTTGTTCTTCAAGGGTTCTTTAGTAAAGAAAATGGTTCTATATAGAACCATGAACAATTTAAGACCCTTTTCATGATTAAAGGGTTCTTTGCATCATTAAAGTGTTCTTCAGATTGATGGAGAATGTGCTGTCTGTAGTTCTATATAGAACCAAAAAGCGTTTTGCTATTGTTACAATGTCAAGCTTGTAACAACAGAAGAACCCTTTTCGGTGCTATATAGAACCGTTTTCATAAAGATTTTATATAGTATCATATACACACATTTGTTATCAATCCTAAGAACCATTTCACTAAACAAAGATGGTTCTTCAGGGGTTCTTCAGTTGTATGACTTCTATATAGAGCCATTTCATGCTTAAATGGTTCTCTGCATGGTGAAATCGTTCTTCAGATTGATGGAGAATGTGTTGATTCTATTTAGAACCAAAAATGCCATGTCAAGCTTGTATCAACAGAAGAACACTTTTTGGTGCTATATAGAACCATTTTCAATTAAGGTTCTATATGTCATGGTTCTAAAGAGACCCATTTACTTAACTACACACTTAAAAATTATGGTCCTTCAGGGATCTTCGAGGGAACCATGAACACTCAAAGAACCCTTTGCATGATTAAAGTGTTCTTTGCATTGTTAAAGGGTTCTTCAGATTAGTGGAGAATGTGTTGCCTGTGGTTCTATTTAGAATGAAAAAGTGTTTTGCTATATTGTTACGATGTCAAGTTTGTAACAACAGAACCCTTTTTGGTGCTATATAGAACCGTTTTCAAAAAAGGTTTTATATAGTATCATATACACACATTCTTTAAGTGTGAAATGGTGATGTATAGAAGTCATGGTTCTAAATAGAGCCATTCACTTAACTACACACTTGAAAATGATGGTCCTTCAAGGGTTCTTTAGTGAAGAAAATGGTTCTATATAGAACCATGAACACTCGAAGAACCCTTTGCATGATTAATGTGTGAATGTGCTGTAGATGGTTCTGTATAGAACAGTTTTGAAAAGGGTTCTACATAGCACCAAAAAGGATTCTTCTATTGTTACTATGTCAAGCCTGTACCAATAGAGGCACCCTTTTTGGTGCCGTATAGAACCCTTTTCAAAAAGGTTTTATATAAAACCATATAAGACACATACTCCATCAATCTGAAGAACACTTTAATCATGCAAAGGGTTCTTTGAGTGTTCATGGTTTTTTATAGAACTGATCTCTTAACTAAAGAACCCTTGAAGAACCATCTTTTAAAGTGTGTATGGTGGTGTTCAGATCACATCATATTTTAAGGCAAAAAGAAAAATAAGCTTAAGAAATAACTTAAATTTTAAAAAGCATATTCTGGCTAAAATGAAAAAAATGCTAGCATCACTACATTGGTTGTAATTAAGCAATAGAACACTCGAGAGAGTGTGTTATCGTGGAATAACATCACGGCTGTGATTTGGTCACTGTAGATCATCACAGCTGTGATGTTATTTGTGATAACACACGACCTCGAGTGTTATTTATACAGTTAAATAAATAAAGTAAGAAATTAATA